TTCACCAAAGCTTACTATATCATAATTATGTGTAATTACCTGACATAGCGCAATTTACAAAACAACTCCCGAGTGTTGAGTAACCCCAAGTATTAATGAACTCGTCGTTGGCGGGAAGGCTCAAAGTAAAGATTCTTAGCGGGACGCGCTGCAGTTTCCTACAGTTTTGGGCCAAACTAAAAGTTGTTTTTACATTACTGGTGCATTATGTATCAAATTCAGATTTTATACCAAGGTGGGAGAGTACGTCAGGGATACAGGGACGGTAAACTTGATTATAACGCTTTGATGGACTTTGTCAAATCAAAAGTGCATTCCTTGATCGAATCACTTTTTCAACTGCAGTTTGAAAATGACGAGGTATAACGACCGTTATTATGTCGTCCATTTTTGTAACAGGTACAACTGACTAAAATGAGCGAGGGGTTGACATTTTTTGACAGATTTAAGCAACACCCAACTTGTGATTTTCAAAATTACTGAAAATAATTACAATATAATTATAAAAAATAAAGAATGACGCACGCTAGATAATACTTGCAATTCACCAAGCCGACAACCCCTATGTAATAGTAATCCCAAACCACGCGCAGGCCTGTAAGGCTGTATGTTAAACCATGGAGCTCCATGGTTAAGCGTACGATGTATAAAACGCGTCGACGTGTTCACAATACTAACTATTATCAGCTAATTACCGACTGACACCGAACCAATTGTGTCTTCGTATCGCTTATTTGGAATAAAAGACGTGTTTTAAGAGCAGGTCAAAACTTCCACCAGTATTCGACTGAAGTCTGTCACATTGTATTGCTTAACTGAAGAATGACACCTCTTGTTGTGTGAATTGACTTTTATCCATTTAACATCAATAAACCACCAACTATTAATTGCAGCGAATCTCGTAATTTGTAATATTACAATAAATGCGGAGCAAAAAATTATATTATTATGGGGAGGGTGCTCAGCACTGCCAATTCACATCATACTTTTGACGAAATGGTCTCTCGACGAAATATGCATCGGGATAAAGCATTCTGTATGTAGTTTCTACCAACGAACATTTTAATTACAATTTTTCTATTCGTTTTTATCCTCAGACGGAAGTGGAATACTAGTAGTCTCTCTCTTTCGGTTATAATTTGGTATAGTATACTGTTCTAGGCCAATCAGATCTTGGTTAAACCACACATATTTCATAGCAACAAACGTAGTTGGCACTTGCATGTAGATCCACATCCTCTAATGGACCATTATAGTTTTTATCAAGGTATCGGATGATTTTGAGCAGGCACATTACATTGACATTACAACAAATACACATTTTAAATTTAAATATTTTATTATATTATTAACAGTTCCAGTGTCGCTACACATTCATTGTGCATTTAATCAAAATCCCTCTTCACTAGAGTAGTGCACTAGATATGAACTTCGAATATAATTTATTCCAGGGACGTAACGACCAACGTTTTTTATTTACGAATTGTACAGCTACCAGTCTACAGCCTTTTCAACATCAGCACCCGTTACATGCACAAGTTGGGATCTCGGCACGTGCCGATATTTTAAGCCTTCATGTTTGGAGAGAATTACAGCACTGGGTTTACGTTTGTCCGTTTTATATGGTAAATGACGCCACCAAGCAAAAAATATCGATGCCTACTTCGAATGAAATTGCGTTTGATAGTTATATGTATTGCGCTTGAATGTTTTCACACCTTCAAAATTTCTTTCACATCGAATAAGAAACATCGTGAGTGCACGATGCATTGTATTTATTTTACGTGTTGGGATTTCACTAATTCTAGGTAAATACTTTAATGCCAGAACCTATCGAATTTGTTTTTGTCTTTTTGTTTTTAAATTACCAAAACATGCATGAAATAGTTTGGAGTTATTTCTAGTTTTGTTCGGGTTATTTGACCATCATGATTCAAATCCTAGTTAGCAATAAATCATTAAAATATTGTTCGATGATGCAATAATACTAGATCTCGAAAGAATTAAATATATAATTAATGAGAAAAGTTATGAATTATTCTATGCTGTGTAGGTCCGTGGCACGAAGATGATCTACAATTTACACTTTTATAGTTGTGTGGAAAGACGAAAAATGAGTTGTAATGTGGGGGAAATTAGCTGGAAAGTCGAAAATGTTAACCATCATTTCAAAAACCTAAAAAAAACCAAAACATTACATACTACA